CACCGTCTCTGCCTTCCTCGCCCAACTTCCCCATAGCCACCGCTTCAACTAAAAATGGCCATTGACCTTTCAAGCTTTTGAGCAGTGATGCAATAGAATAGTATTTCAAAGAAAAAATGGTTATCGAAAATTTGGATCCGGTTTTTGCCGTGAGTGTTAATGGTTTTTAAGAAGTAGATCATATTTAAAGTAGGTCACATTTCGGAGGTTGGGGTGCTGTCAGGAAAATGAGTTCCATTAAGGCCAGGTGGTCTCCAACAGGATGGGAAGTAAGGGTCCCGAGTGGGGAGGTAGTGCCTTCCTAAATTCTCGTCACCGGGCACCCGCCCTTCAAAAAATCACAGCAACCATCAATAGTTGGGCACAGAAGGCCGTCACCCGCCACTTTCCCGGAGCGCAGGTAAGGGAGCCTCTTCAGCAGCCAGGGCAGGTGAGCCGGGAGGGCAATGGGGCCTCCAGAAAGAGGCGACGGAGAAGAGCAGAGGAGGAAGGGAGGAGCCCTGTAGGGTTGGTGCGGGAGACTGCGAGCCTAAGAGCCAGTGGGTGGGGACTGAGAGCAGCCCGCGCGCCTTAAGGAGGCGCCTTACTCTGCCTGTTGGCAGCCTTCTAGGACTTGGGGTGTGGGGTTGGGGGGGCAGCCTTCAGCTAGATCCCTTCGGTCCCCGGGGGTGGGCTGTAGCCTGCCCCCACCTAATCAATATGTCGTAGAGGGAGAGTGGCCAGTTTCCGAGGAACCCACCCATCCTCTCCAGCTCTCCGTCCCGCCCCCCCCGCCGCGTGCCGCCCCAACAAAGCGCGGCTTGGAGGGTAAAGTCGAGGAGGTGCCAAGGGGGTGGAAAAGAGGAACCCCCTCCCCGCAGAGGGGCGAGAACGACGACTATTCGCTGGATCAGGGTGCCTAGCTGACGCGGGTGGGGGCATGCTCCGGCCGCCAAAACTGGGTTGGCGATGGCCGGGAACTTCTCCGGCTTGCCCCCCAAGGACCCCGAGGTGTGGGGTCACCGGAGGGCGGAGTCTCAGGCATCCATACCGCCGCTGTCCGCACCGGCGCGCTCTCAGCGATTCTCTCGTGAAGCCTGCGCATTAGCGCCGAGCCTCTTTAAAGCGGTAGCGGGGGCTGTGGTCACGTGAGCCGGATTCCTGGAAAGTTCCTGGAAAGCGGCCTCCGCAGCCGCCGGGCGGGGCTCGAGCGGAGCGCGGAAGGGGGAGGTAGGGGGGGAGGTAGGGAGGCGCATCGGACTGGGAAGTCGCGCGCACACACTGCTCTGGGGACAGACGTTTAACTCTTGCCAAGTCTCGCCGCTGCCGCGGCTCGTGGGCCTTGAGTTTCTCTTGAAGCATGAGCCTCTTCGCCCGCAGCCACCAGCGCTGCGCGGGCCGCGGACAGTACGCGCCGGGGCCCGGGGCGCACAGCCTCAGGATCCTTGGAGTACGAAGCACGGGCGCTCGCAACAGGTACCGGTGTGGGGAGCTCCGCCCCGCGGAGAGTGGCTGGGGCGGGCGGCGGGGCGCGGCCGCGTGCGCGGGGAGCGACCGGCGGCGTTGGCTTCCGCAGTTTAGGGCGCTCGTAGAGAGTTCGAGCAGCGGCTCCTGCAGCCGGTGGCTACTGCCTGCTCTCTCCAGTACCTTCCCGGTGTCGGGGAGTCTCCAGAGTTTCATTTTATTTTGTTTTCCCCTCCCTAAACTGCTATTCAAATGTCTATTCCTCCTAATAACCTGATCGCCCGCTCCTCCCCTCCAGCCTGCCTCCGCCCTTGCTCCTTCCTCCCTCCCTTTCTCCTTCCCCGTTCCTTCGTCGCTGCTGAAGGGAAAGTCGGTAGCTACACGGGGGCAGAGGGTGTCGAAGCCTGGGGAGTGGGGTCGGGGATCGAGGTGATGATCCCTAGGATTTTTGTCTGCCCTCTGCACAGAGAAGTCCAGCCGCCTCCGCAAAGCTTAGGGTCGGTCTCATCCCCAGGCATCTCGTTCCCAAATTAAACGTCAACAGGGGAAACTCAGGCGGACACCCCTCCTCTCCCGGGCCCCTCCCGGCTCCCCCGCCCCATGTCCGCTGGGGAGGCTGCCTGGTGCGGAGGCGGCGGCGGCAGCCGTGGCCGAGGTAAGGGCTCGGCGTTGGTTGTTAGCAAGTCCCGCCGCGCTCGCTGTTGCGGGCTCTGTGGCTGCTGCGCTCGGAGCTCCTGCCGGGGCTGCGCGCTCCGGCCGATTCCTCGACAGCGCTCGGGGCGGCTACAGCAGCAGCAGCCGCCGTCTCTGTCCCGGAGCGACCGCCACGGGCTGTCCCTCACTCCTGTCCCGAGCGCCTACTGGGGAGCTGGTGGAAGGGAGCGAGGCAGCCTCCAGGCAGGGATGCGGCCGCTAGTGCACCTCCACACCCCCGGCTGGCGTCTCAGGCCCCGGGAGCCCCATGGCGCTTTAGGGCGTGGAACCAGCTTTTGCTGGGTGCTTCCTCCCAGGGGCCCTCAGACTTCGCGAGGTGTAAGATGGAAATGCCATTTTGGGGAACGATCCTGCTCTTTCCTTTTTAAAAATTTCTACTTGTCCTTGACAAGAGCCTGTCCCCAGTCGTCCCGCAGGTGACTCTTTGCTTTTCTTAGACTGCCAATTTGTGATTTCAGCAAGCAGCCCTGGGCGGGAAGACTCCTCGTTCATCCTTATCCCGTCTCCCCACCCCCCTTTTCCTCAGCCAACTCGGTCTTGGATCCTTGCTCTCTCTATGCATCTTTTCTCCAGAGCTGGGCCAGGGCGGTAACTGGATGCTTGGGGTTAAACGGTGCAGGAGCTTAGAGGCGGCGGAGTCCCCGGGATTTTCCACGTCTCTGTTTCCCCACCCCCACCCCAGCCACAGGGGTCCAGTTCTGACTGACCCAACTCCCGCCCCACTTTCTCTTCACAGGCGATCTGTGGGTGACCGCGTCTGCGGGAGATTTTACCATCCCTCCTCTGGGACTTGGGGAGAAAGAACCAGCAGCTCCCCAACCCCTCCCCCTCCGCCACCATTTCGGACACCCCGCAGGGAAGCGTTTTGGAGTTCCCTCTGACTTCCAGGAAGGACGCGAGCCCCTCTGTGACTCCAGCTCAGGCGGCCACCTGTCTTTGCCGTGCTGACCCTTCTTCCATGACCCTGCGGTGCCTCGAGCCCTC